TTTTGTGTACTAACCACATTTAATGAATTCTTATATGGACAAAATTTTTGTTAAATACATACAAATAAATATTTTGTATAATACTTATTACTTTCTTGAAATGGTTTTTAAAATTTTAATTGCTATATATTTCAATGCTTGCCAGCTAAATGGTTAACTGCACTTAAGGCTTGTCCAGGTGAATAAATGACAAGTGAACTACTCATTGGGCAAAGATAATGATAGAATGAAATTTATGTCAATTGACTGGAGATGTGACTCAAATAAATAGTGGTACATTAATCCTCTTACCCTAGCTGAAACATGTTACCTACTTAATACTTCAACTACAAAATTTGAATACAGCAACATACAAGAACAACATAGACAAAATCAATCCAACATAAATAATAAAGAATGACAAAAATTATTGATGGTGGGAAAAATGACCAAAGTTCCTGGTCTCAAGGTACACTGCATCTAGGATTTTAAACCAGAGAAACAAGATAAAAGTGGTCTTCCTTTCAGAATTTAAATTTTTTTAATTTGACAACTATTGAAATTTTCCTTCAGTATTGGATGAACCAAATTAACAAAGAAAAAGCTAAATTATGTCAGTAATTTTTAATGTTCATTATTGTCATTCATTTGAAAATTATTGTACTATTTAACAATAGGTTACATGGATCTGTTCTGTTCACTTGTTCAGAAGTTCATAAGTAGAACTCTATCCTCTTTGAGCAATTCTTAATCCTTCACGCAGTAATGTTTAGAATATTTATGACAAATCTAACATTTGCAGTAGAAATTACAATTTACAACTGTTGCTGAATCAAATTATCAAAGATATCTGATGTGAGGCACCTGTGAGGCTGTAACCCTGTTACCTTCAAGGCTACAACACAGCTTGAAAATTTGATTGTGATAAAATTGCATCTTAGCTTCATCTATAAAAGATTATAAATATTAAGATGAACAAAACTCAAAAGAGTATAAATAGGGTAAACGCACCATATTCCGACCCTGTGGGTAATTCCGACGCCCCTCAACTTTTTCCTTTATATAAAGCTTGGTCTTAGTTCCAGGCATGTGTAGGGTTAACACACCATATTCCGACACCTTAAGGATGTAGCGAGAAATGAATGGCTATAAATAGAGCACCATATGCGCAACTCAAGTTCTGCTTGCTATATGTCACTCTCAAAACACCACACTATGCGCCAGCAATGATGAAACGTCACAAACTGCTGCCATATTTATTTAAAAGCCATTAGGATTCAAATCTACAAAATTGCTGAATTCCGACACTTTGTGTGACTATATTTGGCATATTGTGAGACTAATTCCGACAGTGCTTCAAAATTGTAATTCCAACACCCAGTGTGAGCTGTGTCAAAATACGACACAGCTCGGAACAAGCCGTGTGTGTCCAATTCTGAGCCGTTTATCACTATTCAGTAAAGCATGGTCAACTTTCAACTTTCACACCCGTTTTGATGTTATTGCTGGCTGACGTGCAGTTTTGCTTTGCGGATTTCAACATTTTCCCGCTAGACCAAGTGTTTTGCGGAAATATTGAGCACAATAGTATGGCGTCACTATTTCAACCATCTACGCATACGTGGAACTTAGACAAAGTTTAATATAAAGGAAAAAGTTGAGAGGTGTCAGAATTACCCGCAGTTTCAGAATATGGTGCATATTCCCTAGATGGTTGAAAATAGTGATATCATACTATTGCGCGCAAGATTTCCACATAACACTAGGTCTAGCAGAAAATGTTAAGATCTGCAGAGCAAAAGTCCAAGTCAGCTACTGAGAACATTGAAACACGTATGAAAGTTGATAGTTAATATTGCTTTACTGAATAGTAATAAACAGTTTGTGTAGAAAGAATATTATGGTTTGAGACTTTTAAAAAAGTCTGAATATATTAGGAATCTTTTAAGTATACTTGTATTTGCTGATTTTAAGTGGTAAATAAATTAATAGACGATTGATTTAAGACACAGTTTTAGACACATAAGACTAATTCTGACACAGGGTGTCAGAATTACAAATTACGATTTTGAAGCGCTGTTGGAATTGGTCTAACAATATGCCGCATTTAGTCACACACAGTGTCAGAATTCAGCAATTTTGTAGATTTGAATTCTGAAGGCTTTTAAATAAATATGACTACAGTTTGTGATGTTTCATCATTGCTATTTGCTGGCACTGTCTGATTCTTATTCAAATTATTTATTTATTTATTATATTATTATTATGTTAATTATTATTTAATTGTTATATGTTAGAATTCCACCAGTGGCACATAGTGTCATTAGTGTGGTGTTTTGAGAGTGATGTAAACCAATCAGAACTTGAGTTGCGCATACGGAGATCTATTTGAAGCCATTTATTTCTTGCTACGTCCTGAAGGTGTCAGAATATGGTGTGTTTACCAATGTATAATGTATTTTATGAATAAATTTTTAAAATCAACAACTATAGATTACACACATGTACATATAGATAGGTATAAAGTTATAAACTGCATAGGCCTAATCTAGTTTTAAAATATCAAATAAATCTAATATGTGGCTTGAAAACATTGATATCCCAGTTCAAATTTGAAATTCACAAGACATTTATCTGAGTCGGAATCATCTCACAGTTTGTTTACAGGTCCACAGGATTACAGCAATTGAAAACAACAATGAATTTGCTACAAAAATCACATCCAAAGCCAGTGGGTAAAATAACTTTTCTCCAGGCCAGCAGCCTTACGGCAGTGGGAGACTTTGCTTCTGTCCATTGTACTGCAGAGATGACACAAAGTTTTTCTCCATTGCACTGCTGCCATCACTCGATGGTCTGATTTTCTTGTGATGATACTCCAGTGTTACACCCAAACACGCGCAGCATGTTTGGCGCGATCCCTCACCTTCCGTACTATTTTTCGTACACGTAGCGGCCTAGTTTTTCGTCTAGGGTAACGGAGTTACTATTTATTTTCGATTGTGCGGCTCCAGTTATCTTACTCACTAACGTCTCGCCTAGTTGTTCTAAACTAGCTGTTAACTTGCGCGGTCTTCTTCCTAGATTAATCGGAATTGCCCTATTGTCGGTTGCATGTCGCTAAAGACTTGGTTTTTCACACGGCTTTAATATTCAACCGATGGACGTATATACTTGCTCTTTCTCGTAACTCTTTGCACTCAACTAACCTAAGGCGATGCTTCAAACGAGCGGGCGCGGTTCGCATATGAGGAAAGCAGTAATTCGAAGTCAGGCACTAAAGTAAGAAACAATATTATGTTGTAGTATTTTCGTAGAAGGCAAAGGCTGTGGCATGTGATGTAACAAAAACTTTGAGTTCATCATACCAGAAATCCCGGAAGATGGAGGTAGCGCTGTGCAGGCTATGGATCGGCCACACGCGCCTCACTCACAGCTACCTGATCGAACGCCGTCCAATGCCGTATTGCAATTATTGTTTGGTACCCCTGACGGTCTTGCATGTTATGGCGGAATGCCCGAGCCACAGTGATACTCGGCAAAACTACTGCCCCAACACTACTGCCCGCAGCCCAAATGAAATGCTGTCCAGGATGCTAAGAGAAGTTCCCCGAAGCATATTTGGGACTGACAATCTCAGACGATATATAATCGAGTGTAACCTGCTGCCGGATATCTAGCACAGCACCATGACATTTTTGCCCTCATCAGAGGATATCTTTCGCTGATCTACTTTCAAATCAGAAATACCGTCCTTCATCTTGCACTTCGAGCTAGCATACAAAAAGAAGGCTTTCGGGTTCTTTTTTGCATTTTAGCAATACTTTTTTCGAGGGTTTTTAGTTTTTACTGCGGTGCGACAGCTTTTATCTTGATTTCGAGCTCTTGCGTATAGGTTATAGTCAGCATCACTGCGAGTCTGTAAATAACGCTTGTATGCTTCCTTCTTTGTTTTCAGCTTAGCTAAAACTGTACTGTTCATTCACCTAGTTTTTTTGGCTCCACCAAGCTTAATTTTAGGTACACACGCATCAACTGCAGACATAACCGTGTCCTTAAGAAGTGAATAGTCAGTCAATGTCAGAATAGTCAGTGAATAGTCAGTCGTCAAGCATACAAAATTGATTTACACTAATTATATCTTTAGTTCACTTAAAACTTCAAGCTCTCCAAAAGTTGATCATCGAATTGATTATTGTCGTTAGCAACATTAAAATTTTGCCTTCGTAACAATCGATTCGACTGGAAATAAGAGCTACGGGCGGTAAAAGTATCTACGAAAACGCGCTGCACTCGAAAATTTATAACTCACAAATAAATATTGAACTACCAAAATATCTAACATAATTTCGACTCTACAAACTCCGAATTACTAACAAATGAAATCCCACACATGTCAATTACATGTCCACGAGTTATAATAAAAATGCAGAAACTCCGACTCTACAGTCAATAAGCCACGCGGTCAGGTGAAAAGTATCGATACCTTTTTCGTTCGTTTTTTTAAAAAGTTTATAGACTTACGATGAGGAAAAGGAAAGTGTGTCCATAACTGAAGTCATTTTAATGTACAACCGAAAATGTGAAAAGAGTAAATGGAATGATATGGGAATGGGATAAATACAAGGAATTGACAAATACTAAGCCGTATTGCCGGTGTAACGCAGAACATTCAAATAAATTACTTCACTGGTAACTATTTACATCGCCTGAATTGCAACCGAGATTAGATTAAATTAAAACTTAGAACAGTTCAAATGAAAACAAGTAACATTAGTGCAAATGTTACTTGTTGTTATTACTTATGTTACTTATTAGTGCAAATGTTACTAGTGCAACACAAGAAAACCATAATATAACACGGCTCATGTGTTTTTATGACACAAGGTCAGAATGAACTCATCCCTCCCAGACTTCAGCCCTTGTGTATGTTCAAAAAAGAATTCTTGTACTAGCCCCATTCACTACAAATTGTACATTTCAATTTAAAAATGCATTACTTAGTGGCTGACATCAAGTAAGCTATGAGATCAGCTCTCTCGGACTGCTTCTTGAGTCCAGCGAAGACCATTTTGGTGCCAGGGATGTACTTCTTGGGGTTGGTGAGGTACTCATCCAGGGTGTCAGGTCCCCAGGTGATGCCTTTTGACTTGTTGGCATCAGTGTAGGTAAAGCCAGGGGCCTGGCCTGTTTTGCGGCCGATGAGTCCATTCAGGTTGGGCCCCACCTTGTGCTTGCCTCCAGCCTCGACAGTGTGGCACTGCGCACACTTCGTCACGAAGATTTTCTTGCCCTTTTCTACGTCACCCATTTCGTTACCTGAGAGGAAAAGAAGTCTTTAACGTAACTTCTTGATCAGCGATCAAATAATAAAGTAGTACACATTATGGCTTATGTATGTCGTGCCGTAATCGCGGAATTGCCGATTCTATGGAACCGGCAGCCAGCTTGCCGAATCAGTAGAATCGGCATTTCGTTGCTGACTCAGAAAATCGGACGTTAGAGTCATGAATCATAAATAGAACTTAACATAGATAATCAGTTAGAACATGAATCATAGAGTTAGAACATAAAAAAAAAGAAAATTTACGATCAATATCAATCAACGCCGTAAAATGATAAAGTTGGTCGTAAGTCGTAAGTTCAGCCGTTGAGAGTGCACCGACAGGACCAGAATACTTAAGATTAGAATCCACATTTTAGGGTGAAAATATGTTACGTCGTAAATGAGAATGTACCTATGCAGATGACAGATGTATACGTGTGTGCTTGAGTTTGAGGCATTAAATTGTTTCATAAGAAATTTGATGAGGGAAAATACTATTTCAACAGTCATTTCATTTTATTCGGCATCTAACTAGTCGAGACATATTTAACGTAAAGATACCAAATGCTCTCGATGGTGCAAACCATTGACCCCATTAAATTAAAGGCCCAATTGGCGCAAAGAACTACTTTCACATTAAAGTCTATTATACTGTTTATACATTATTCTATGTGCGGTATATATGTCTTCATATGTGTCTCACTTCCACTCAGATTGATTTGAGGCCTAATTTTCTACCCATAAGCAATATTTTAAGAGTTTCACAAGCATGCCGTCTTACCGGCGACTTGGCACTCAATCAAAAATAAAATTTCCAATAATATAACAAATATTTACTTCAACGTGATAAGTATTCCTTCGAGAAAAGCTGTCTCTCGTAATTCCTAGTATTGTATTATCACAGTACCGTTTATAGGAAGAAAGAAGACTTGAGAGATGACGATAGCGCACTACCACCTCGCACCAACGACTGCGTATGACTGACGTAAGAAGTGTCGAAAACTCGAATTGCCTCAGGCCCTCAGCAGATGGCACTGCAGCCACATATTGACCATGCCATTCACGAGGGTGAGAACAACATAATTCCTCGTAACTCATGCCAAGTAAATTTGTTACTTCGCATATAAATTTGACAATGGATAACTGGTATTACATATTTCTATCGTAGAACGTAATATCTTCTAAATTTTTCGTTTAAATCCTGACTCCTCCGTATTTAAATGAAAAGCCAGATTTCCTTTTCCTGCATTAAATTTGATTCCAGGCCGAGCTTGACCGCATCGCTTTTCTTAAAGTATCTTTTTAATAAATTTTCATAGTTGGCTTTTCATTCAAAAATTTTTAAAATCGAATCCTATCTTTGCCAAATTATGAACAAAGCTATTTATTGACAAAACGCTCCCGAAAGATTCGTCAAAAAATTTTGTGTTCGCTTCGACCTAAATTAGTTCGTTAAATGCTAATTTTTCAAGTATTACACGCGTAAGTTAGTAAAACTGAAACCTATCTTGACCTAGTTAGCAACAAAGCTACTTATTTACAAAAGCCCCTGCTAGTAACATAACATAACATAGTGATGTCGGCGCTGAAGTGTAGGCCTCATGTGGCCTGTCGTAGATTCTTTTCCCTTTCGTGCCTTGTTCATAGATCTAAAATCGTATCATTTGACCGGATCTTTTCATGACTGACGATAGTTTGAAATAGCTACTAGACTTCCACCGGGTTCGATAAGGAGCTAGGCATTTCAAATCTGAACATATATTTTTCCATAGCTTTATCTAGTCTGTTCTTGAAAGCGTTCATACTTGGAGCGCCAACGAGGTCATCGGGGAGGCTTTTCCACATGTCGGTGATTCGAAGCGAGAAGAAATTTTGTCTCGTGGAGAAGTTACAGCGCAGTTTTTTTGTGCCAGACTTCTTTGTGACCGCTTCGTTCGCACATAGTGAGCACAACGCACGTCAGTTTGGCGGCCATAACATAACAGCCGTAGAGCTAAAAATTCATAATTTATTCAAGGATACAAAATCAACCTCGACATTCATTCATTTAACCTAAAACAAGTCATATCAGGATTATTTAAGTTATTTAACCGCACAAAAACAAGTTGTTGAATCTTGAATTGCTCTGCAGAATCTACCCGACCCGAGTTCACAATTCCGGTGTTCACGAGTTAAAACTCTTATGCTTTGATCCGACTCCAAAAGATCTTGTTATAATAATTAGTCAGTCGTCAAGCATACAAAACTGATTTACACTTATTATTTCATTTCTTTAGTTCACTTAAAACTTCAAGCTCTCCAAAAGTTGATCATCGAATTGATTATTGTCGTTTGCAACATTAAAATTTTGCCTTCGTAACAATCGATTCGACTGAAAATAAGAGCTACGGGCGGTAAAAGTATCTACAAAAACGCGCTGCACTCGAAGATTCAGAACTCACAAATAAATATTGAGCTACCAAAATATCTAACATAATTTCGACTCTACAAACTCCGAATTTCTAACAAATGAAATCCCACACATGTCAATCACATGTCCACGAGTTATAATTTCGTACATTTGCTTACAGGGCTACGACATCGAGGACGCCATGACTGTAAACAAGTCCTCCATGGAGCGCGGTCTTGCCCACGGCCAAGTCTACAAGACGGAGTACCTCGACATCAGGCTTGCCAAGCGCCACCACATGTCTAATGAGGTACCATTGTTATGTCTGCCTAATCTGTGTAATCCTAATCCTTCACCGTTGAAACTTGCTGTTATACTCATCCGTTTGTTGTCTGGTCAACCTGATGCTATTAATAATAATAATAATGGTTTCAGCGTTTATTAGGTCGTAGGCCTGCCGCCGATTCTTAAACATCGCAGAATATTCACAGCTTATTGCGGTCTCGAACTCGCAACTCACTGCTACAATTCTGCTGTGCTTAACCGCCCGGCCTCCTTGCCGATTCTGACCAGAAACTGGCGCACAGAGCTGGGATCAAACCCGCACCTCTCTGCTCGAATCTTTCTACTCTGAACTGTAACCACTAGGCCACCCTGCCCTGAAGCTCGCAAACGTCGACTCGGGATCAAAACAGTGACATTGATTAAATAATTTGCAGGTAACGAATATCTTCTGCCGGGATCCCGACAACCCTAAGCTCGAGCAGCACCTGGACGACATGGGACTGCCCTACCCTGGCGCCCACCTACAGGAGGGCGACCCCTACTACTGGTAGCTTGACTTCGCATTAATAGCGTCTATATAGTTATTGTTGTTTTACGTGGTTTATTTTATTTTTTACAACACTTCTCTTTAACTTCACTTCTTATTTGTTTGTCTGTCTGTCTGCTACAAATCTTATAATCAATTTTTAACCCACTTCTACCTGTCCAATCAATCTGAAATTTGGCACACTTGCGTAAAGTCGGAGACAATGCATGAATCGATTGACAAAACAAATAATTTTATAAATAAAAAAAATTCATTATTAAAAAAAATTAAAAATAATCTCGTCTGCTACAAATCTTATAATCCATATATGACACAATTTGACCTGTCCAATTGATCTGAAATTTTTGCACAATTGCATTAAGTCAGAGACAATGCATGAATCAATTGACTGAATAAATAATTTTGAAAATTTACAAAATTTTGATATCTTAGAAAAATTTTTGAAAAATAATTGTTTTCAATATTTGAAAATAAAATTAGAAATTCATTGTACATGTGTAACATCCAAGATTGTTCAGAAGTGTTGTCTTTAAAAAGTAATTTTTAAACGCATATTATTATACTGCAAGTTCAAGTTGATGCATTTTTCCTACTACCTCCCGTTAGGGCAGAGGTTCTTAATTAAGTGGAATGATCTCTCTTGAAATGTGTGTTAATCAAAATCAAGAAATTAAACCTACGAAACTTGCTAAACCATGCCTAAATGTCGCTACTGTCCCCAGCACGATGGACCTCCGGTCGCGCTCCTACCGCGTGTACAGATACAAGGGCGAGCCCTGCGTCGTGGACAAGGTCTGGGTCACCGAGGACGTCAAGAAGGAGCGCGAGGTGCAGAGAGTCGGCATCACCATTCGCGCTCAGGTAAAAATATCACTCAATTATCAGGTGGTCGTAAAATTATCACTCAATTATCAGGTGGTCGTAAAATTATCACTCAATTATCAGGTGGTCGTAAAATTATCACTCAATTATCAGGTGGTGGTAAAATCATCACTTGCAGCTATATGGTACTGTAGTATAGATACAGCTATATGCTAGTGTAGTACAGATACAGCTATATGCTACTGTAGTACAGATACAGCTATATGCTAGTGTAGTACAGATACAGCTATATGCTAGTATAGTACAGATACAGCTATATGCTACTGTAGTACAGATACAGCTATATGCTAGTGTAGTACAGATACAGCTATATGCTACTGTAGCACAAATAAAGCTATGTGCTACTGTAGTACCGATTTCAAGTTTAAATGACCGCTCTTTCCACCTATTTTTATGCGCCATGTTTTCTGTTCCAAAGTCTTCTTATGAAATTGATTCTGTAATGTACTTATTGTTTTTTTATTTCCAACTGTCAATGTTCTTCAGACGGCACTTGGTACATCCAGCCGTTTTTGTGTTCTATTTTTTCTGTTATAGCCCTGGTATGTAATTGATCTAGTAGTGTACTAGTTCTTTCCTAGCGATTTTTAAACTTTAAATGTACGGCAGACGACACGTGTTCATCCACCTGAGCGACAACACGGATAAGTTTCACCTGCTGTGCTACATGGCGTGTAAACTGTACGCGTACGTGGCGGGCGACACGGCCACCGAGAGTGTAGATGTATGGAGTATGATGGAGGCGCAGCTGGGGAGCTTCGTCTACCTCAAATACCTCAAAGAAAAACTACATGATGCTCTCCTGGGCATCAAGTACCAAATTGTCTTGAAGCTTGCTGAGAACCTACCTGATTACCAGCTCACTTTAGGTTGGTCGTGTTTACAAGAATGTTCTCTTTACTAGATTTTGAAATTTTTTTTAATGTTCTCTTTACTTGAGTGAGTTCTTCACACGTACAGTTTTCGTCCTGATATTAAGCTTTTAATTTCAAAATTGTAATTGTTGATGCCACAGAGATCTGTAATTTTTTAAATTAGTGGCCAGTTTGACAATAACCAAACAAAGCAAGGATCGCACACTCGGTCGTTGGATTCTTCAATATTTAAATGAGCGTTCAAGCCGCACCTCCAGCATACAGTTGTCAGTACAAAGCAATGGCCAGAGTTGATAGAAGCGCTGTCATAGACGCGTGTCAATTGATATGAATCATCTATGATACGAATTGATACGCAACACTCCATTCTATCCGGTGTAGTGCGCTACAGACTTTTGGTACAACGTCGGCGCAGAACTCGGAAAAATTTACCCCTTTGAAGCTAGGAGACCCTACAGTCTGAAGAGACTCTTGATTGAACTATGATGGAAACCAGGAATAAATATATAACATTCGCTTTTATGATTCTTAAGTTCTCCAGCTAATAGTTTCATTTTTTTCAACTCAAGAATGAAAATAGCAAAAGATCCAAAACAGGTATTGTAATTTATCTAAAAGTTCAGACGGTACACTTCCTATCTTCTTTCATTCCAACCTTCATTAATTTTGAGAATTTTTACTTTCCTGCTGAACTATGCGTGTACGTCTGAAGTAACTATAATTTTTACACGCCTGTCATCCCTAAATTGCAGGATAATTATTAATTAAGTTTGAAATAATTACAATTCTTAATTATCAGTCATCATTACATTACAGTAGAATTATTAATCCAAGTCTTAACTCATTAGACATCTTATTCAATAATAATTACTACATTCACATTCAAGTCTGAACAAACTACAATTCTTACTCACCAGCCGACTTGAAGAAGTTGTGCATCCGCACCCGCAAGGTTGGGCCGCCCTTGGAGAGCCTCGTGACTACAGGCAACATCTCCTCCAAAACTGGCATCGGCCTGTCCCAGACAACTGGTCAGTTCATTACCACTAGTCTATCAAACTAGCCGTAACTTTCAACACAATTTATAGTCAGATTTAGCTAGCGAAACATTCATTGTAATCGGCCTGTTCCAGACAACTGGTCAGTTCATTACCACTAGTCTACCATATTACCATTGCTGTAACTTTCAACATAACTCATATTCAGATTTAGCAGGCGAAACATTGTAATCGGCCTGTCCCGGACAACTGGTCAGTTAGTGATCACTAGTCTACCAAACTAGCCGTAACTTTCAACATAATTTATAGTTAGATTTAGCAGGCGAAACATTCATTGTAATTGGCCTGTCCCTGACAACTGGTCAGTTCGTGATCACTAGTCTACCAAACTAGCCGTAACTTTAAACATAATTTATAGTCAGATTTAGCTAGCGAAACATTCATTGTACTGACCATTGTGTGGAACTTTGTAGCCTCAATCTATCACCTTCAAAAGCATGGATATTAGTGAAAATTTGCAGCTAACAAGCTATTAAATTTTAATTTTGTAACATGTGTGCATTTTTTCGCTACGCAGCTGTGCTGCAAGCAGTTTTATCTAATATAATGGAAGCTCTTAACAAATAAGTGATCTTTCTTTTGTTATGGGCAGGTTTATCCATTTTAATGGAAGGTCTTAACGAATGAGTGATCTTTCCTTTGTTACGGGCAGGTTTATCTGTTTTAATGAAAGGTCTTAACGAATGAGTGATCTTTCCTTTGTTATGGGCAGGTTTATCTGTTTTAATGAAATGTCTTAACGAATGAGTGATCTTTCTCTTGTTATGGTCAGGTTTATCCATTTTAATGGAAGGTCTTAACGAATGAGTGATCTTTCCTTTGTTACGGGCAGGTTTATCCATTTTAATGGAAGGTCTTAACGAATGAGTGATCTTTCTTTTGTTACGGGCAGGTTTATCTGTTTTAATGGAAGGGCTGAACAGGATGCGTGATCTTTCTCACCTGCGGGCTATTCACCGAGGTTCCTTCTTCGTTGAAATGAAAACTGTCCTGCCTCGGCGGCTTACTGGAGAAGCTTGGGGTTTGTATTCTTTAAAACTAAACTCGTCTCATTGATTCACTCCCACTTAGTGACCCTTTGACACACTACTTTCATATAGTTTTGTGGTCACAAATTTAATTGATAACACAACCTGGTTATTGAGTGCAGCTAAGCCGCCTAAAACCTATCTAACATTGCTGTAAAATTCAACATTTAAGTGCCTCGTTTGCAATAATAAAAATCTAAATTATCGTGTAATGATCTCCAGCATTCTACGCTCACTTTCAAACAGCCCAACATTTGCCAAAGCAATTGAAAAATTTGAGCTGGATATCTAAGTCACCTACATAAAAACTCAACCCTGATTGCTACTCTCAAAATTTCTTGCATAATTCCAGGGTTCATCTGCCCAGTGCACACACCGGACGGCATGCCATGTGGTCTCCTCAACCATTTGTCGTACAATTGCACCATCCCTGCTCACCCTGACAGCAACCCCGCGGGTCTTATGAAGGTCCTCAAGCAGTACGGGCTCATCCCCATGAACGACACGACCCTCATGAACCCCAGGGCTAAGCTGCACCTTAAGTACCCAGTGCTGCTGGATGGTCAACTTGTGGGCTTCTATGAGAGCAAAGACTGCGAAGGCGTCGCTTGCCAACTCAGGATCATGAAAACCAGCAAGCAGGTGCGTAAAATCTAGGCTCAACTAGGTGAGAAAATACTCAGTTGTATTACTGAAATTCGCTCCAATTGAATATTTAATAGAAATTAGTTTCTAAATTAGAGTTTTGCCTCCATATACGAGTATTGAAACGAGTATTTGCCTCCATATACGAGTATTACAGAAATTTGCAATATTTAATTGAAATTAATTTCTAAACTAGATGTTTTGTCTTTATATACGAGTATTGAAACATGGGATTGTTTCAGATCTACCAGTACACGGAGATCGTGTACATCGAGCGCCGGAGCAGCCCCGGCCAGATGCCCGGACTTTACTTATTTACGTCGCCATCTCGCCTCATGCGACCCGTCGTCAACCTCCACACCAACTCCGTCGAGTTCATAGGAACCTTCGAGCAGATGTACCTCAATGTGGCCATTAGTGGCGACCAGGTTATTCCTAATGTGAGTAATGAGTAATGTGATTAATGAGAAGCTGTGTTGGTCCTTAATGTGGCCATTAGTGCCGACCAGGTTATTCCTAATGTGAGTAATGAGGAGCTGTGTTGGTCCTTAATGTGGCCATTAGTGCCGACCAGGTTATTCCTAATGTGAGTAATGAGGAGCTGTGTTGGTCCTTAATGTGGCCATTAGTGCCGACCAGGTTATTCCTAATGTGAGTAATGAGGAGCTGTGTTGGTCCTTAATGTGGCCATTAGTGCCGACCAGGTTATTCCTAATGTGAGTAATNGAGTGGTGTGCCAGTGTCAGGTGGGGTGGTGTGCCAACACATTAGCATTAAAAAGTTTTTAAGATTTAGTCGCCATTGTAAAATCTGAATCATTGTTGTAAATTAATTCTGTAGTATAATTAGGAACTACCTAACCTAATTTAAATTTAATGTGATATTGTCAAGCTGCTAGATTATGCACCTTGAATGTATGAATGATCTCTCTGTTTCAGACATGTTCTGCTAAGGAATTCTGTGTACGGTATCAGACATTTTCTACTGATTATTTCGCTGTTTCTGACATGTTCTACAGATAAATTTCTTCCTTTCAGACATGTTCTACTGATAAATTTCTTCTTTTCAGACATGTTCTACTGATAAATTTATTCTTTTCAGACATGTTCTACTGATAAATTTATTCTTTTCAGACATGTTCTACTGATAACTTTATTCGGTTCAGACATGTTCTACTTGAGAAATTCTGCATTGCAGGCCCATTCTACAGATAAATTTCGCTGTTTCAGACATGTCCTACAGAGAAATTTCTGTGTTTCAGATGGGCAAGCAGACGATGGGCACGCCGCTGCACACGTGGAGCTCGCAGACCCTGAACAAGGCGTACAGGCTGCAGTACCCTCAGGTGCCGCTGGTGCGCAATGCGCACTACGACAAGATCGACATGCACGATCACTGCATGGGCTTCAACGCGGTGCTCGCCATTGTGTCCTATACTGTGCGTAAACTATTATTTCTTGACGAAGCATCAATGGGTGTTAGTACAAGATATATAATTATTACTTGACGAAGCATTAATAGTTGTTAGTACAAAAAGCAATGCGCTAACATATTTTATACCATCTATAAACTATTATTTCTTAACGAAGCATCAATAGTTGTTAATACAAGAAACGACGTGCTAACATATATTTACTATCTGTTTGAATGTTGATTATATACTCTACTTAAATTGTAATGTAAGTTCAGTCTAAAATTTTTTTTTCTTTTCCATGTTAACGTAAAAGTCTATACGCATATGTGCGTGTTTACTTTCCGACTTTCATAGTACTGAGCCTAAGACAAAAGTTTCATTCAAAATGAAATAATTGTAGAAAATGGTCATAAATTATGGTATATAAAATTTTTCGTACATTTGCTTACAGGGCTACGACATCGAGGACGCCATGACTGTAAACAAGTCCTCCATGGAGCGCGGTCTTGCCCACGGCCAAGTCTACANTGTCGCTACTGTCCCCAGCACGATGGACCTCCGGTCGCGCTCCTACCGCGTGTACAGATACAAGGGCGAGCCCTGCGTCGTGGACAAGGTCTGGGTCACCGAGGACGTCAAGAAGGAGCGCGAGGTGCAGAGAGTCGGCATCACCATTCGCGCTCAGGTACAATTATCACTCAATTATCAGGTGGTGGTAAAAATATCACTCAATTATCAGGTGGTCGTAAAATTGTCACTCAATTATCAGGTGGTGGTAAAATTATCACTCAATTATCAGGTGGTGGTAAAATTATCACTCAATTATCAGGTGGTGGTAAAATTATCACTCAATTATCAGGTGGTGGTAAAGTTATCACTCAATTATCAGGTGGTGGTAAAGTTATCACTCAATTATCAGGTGGTGGTAAAATTATCACTCAATTATCAGGTGGTGGTAAAGTTATCACTCAATTATCAGGTGATGGTAAAATTATCACTCAATTATCAGGTAGTCATCTGGACTCGGGTAAACTGAAACTTGTTTTTAATTTCAATATAGCGTGTAAAGCTTAAATGATAGCATTGTATCGTGGTGTAAATTTCATTTGTGATGGTGAACAGTTGCTTTTAGTAAAGTTGGTAAAGAATCAGTTTAGTGTTTGTGTCAGTAGCAATAACAGTCGATTGCTATATTCTAGACTTTTTTCCATCTTTGATATATCTTGCTCTCTTTCCTTATACGTTGTCTCCTTTTATCATAGTGCCTGGCAAATCTGTGTTGTATTATTATGCTACCATTTCATGCTTAAACTTCTATTATTTTTAGCTACCACTTTATCCTAAAACTTCTATTATTTTTAGCTACCACTTTATCCTAAAACTTCTATTATTTTTAGCTACCACTTTATCCTAAAACTTCTATTATTTTCAGAGGAACCCAACGATTGGAGACAAGTTCGCAAGTCGGAGTGGACAGAAGGGCATCATGAGCAGACTTTATCCCACACAAGACCTGCCTTTCAGTGACCGCGGCATCATGCCGGATATCATCTTCAACCCTCATGGCATCCCGTCACGTATGACAGCAGGTCGGTGGTCGCAATCACCCTGCAAATATTATTCATCATAAGCTGCAAGTATTAACCAAATTATTTACTCGTATTGAGTACAAGGGTTATTTGGTTCGAATACAAATGAGTACAAGGTTATTTGGCTTTATTCCATAAATCATTATGATGTAACAGCTTCTCTTTTTTCGATCTATCACGTAATTTCATTTTTCTGAGCTCTTTCTTTATGAAGTTTATCCATTTCGTTAAGTTTATCTATTTCTTGTCTTGTACCATAAGTTCCTCGGCTCTTAAAGGCTAAGTTTTGATGATCGCGTCTATAGTTCGTCTTGATACTTTGCCCACTTACGCCACATGTGAAATAGAATTCTGAAAACCTCAATTATTACTTTCAGTGTCATTGACTAACTTTGATATCCTCTTCAAGTGCTGCATCTGTAACTCCCTTTGAATTATCATTTTTCAAGAGTTCCAAATTGATTGGTTCCTCGATGAGGCATGAACTATTTAATTCGTATGATTAGAGTCGAGTTTTTGATGATTCTGATTGTACTTTTGACATGAAATGATTTTTATATTACCTACTTATAATAAATGTGGCTCATGTAGAAGGCAGATAAAAATAAGTTGAACCACCAGTGATTAAATTGTCCCCGTTTGCAGGGAAGTTATTGGAGGTAATTGCTGGGAAAGCAGCAGCGGAATATGCCCTATCTTTTGACTCGACCCCCTTCGGGTTCAGCGACGAAAAACCAGCGGCTGAATATTTCGGGTCCATTCTTGAGAAAGGTGGGTAGTGAACTCGAGAAACGAGTGAGAATTTGTCAAAAATGCGATAAACCGATGCATTTTTGGCTGAGTATGTCGAATTCATTCATGAGAAAGGTAGAAAGAAGTAGAAACACAACACACAAACAAGTAGAAATAAGTGATAATTTATAAAATTATCCATGCATCAATGCACTTTCTACTTGTCTGGGTCATCTTTTTCCAATTTGGCCCGTGGGTATCAGTGCTACGTGCTTTAAATGTGTCACTATTTGAATGGCATGAGATGTTCATTTTTTAAGATGTGACCGAATTCTTTACTGTAATAGTCAATACGTCTTTTTCGGTTTACATTCAACGCAGTGAGACATTTAAAATTATCCTAAGAGTGAAGTTACAAACTTTTGAATGTCGACTGACTCATGAAAAGCATTGTCATTGTTTCTGAATGGTGAACTGGTGGTCAAGTTCTCAACACGTTTCCTGCGCTTCTTACCATAGATCTTCTGGGTTGCTCACCAGCGTTTTAGGTACTTGCTTTCACTTAAGTTATCTATTTTTACAAACATTCAACTTAAGCCTCTTGTATTTCTATTTACTTACTTCATTACTTTGGTCATGAGTCGGTGAGAAAACGGACGAAAACGAAATCGATCGTGTTTCGTAACACGAATATGTAGAAGAATATGTAAAGTTGTGACGTTATTCTGGAACGAGCGTTTTCTTACATTGGACATTGTTTTGTAAGCTTTTGCATTCATCGTGTTTTTCATTTAATATTTTTTTATGCATTGAGGCATAAAACGTATAAATCTCACTACCATGTCATTGCATATACTTTGGTTTAGTGTAGTGAGGTGGATTATCACACCTATCTCCCATTTCATGATTATAACTATATGCTTTGTAATGGGCAGCGGGCTTCAACTACTTTGGAGAAGACACGATGTACTCTGGAATTGATGGGCGGATGATGGACGTGAAGGTGTACCAGGGCATCATGTACTACCAGCGTCTCAGGCACATGACTGAGGACAAGTATCAGGTGCTGGGGGACTAGAGTGTTTAAAGTAATAATCTTTTTACCAGGGCCTGGGAACTAATGGTCGTCGTGGATTGTATTGATAGATTTTTCTTAGCTGTGTCCATTGTACAGCAGTGATAGGACTTGGCATGTGTTTATTGTACGGCAGTGGGAGACTTTGCTTCTGTCCATTGTACAGCAGAGATGCCACAAGGATTTCTCCATTGCACTGCAATCATCACTCGATGGTCCGATCTTCTTGTGATTACACTTAAGGTAACTCTGGTGTTGCACCCAAACACACGCAGCATGTCAGGTGGGATCCCTCACGTTTCGTACACGTAGCGGCCTATTTTTTTTTCTCGGCTAACGGAGTAACTATCTATTTTTAATTTTGCTGCCCCGGTTATTTTACTCCCTAGCGTCTCGCCTGGCTGTTCTGAACTAGCTATGAACTTGTGCGGTCTTCTTCCTCGATTACTCGGAATTGTCCTATTTTCGGTTGCATGTCGCTGGATATTTAATTTACTTAAGACTTCATTTTTCACACGGCTTTAATATTCATCCGATAGACGCACTTGCTCTTTCTCGTAACTCTTGGCACTCTACTAGTCTAAGGCGATGCTTCAAACGTGCGGGCGCGGCTAACAGATGAGGAAATAATTAATTCGACGTCAGGCACTAAAGTAAGAAACAATATTAGTATTTTCATAGAAGGCAAAGGCTGTGGTATGTGATGTAACGAAAACTTTGACCTACAGGTGCGCTCTACGGGCGCGGTCGACGTAGTCACGCGTCAGCCGATCAAGGGGCGCAAGAGGGGCGGCGCCATCAGGTTCGGAGAGATGGAGAGGGACGCCCTCATCGCCCACGGCGCCGTTTTCACCCTCAAAGACAGACTCCTAGACTGCTCAGATTCCTCAATGGTTAGTCGTGCCAATACTTTGAGAATTTCTAGGTCTTTGTCTATATACCTATACTTGACACGCATCATCAAATACTTGTTTATAGGTTGCCTGCTTTTCTCAGATCCGCTATATAGGGAATGATTTCATTATTGTGCGGTTTAGAATATTCTGTTTCCATTTTAATTAATATTTGACCCTTTTCCATGCACAGGAGTGGACATGCACCGTGTGTGGTTGCCTGCTGTCCGCTAAACCACTCCAGATCCCAGGTTCCCAGAAGCACTTCCGTGTGCCGGTTTGCGCGCTTTGTGGTCCGGACGCCAGAATGGCCAGGTTACAGATACCGCACGCTTTCAAATATATGGTCGCCGAGCTTGCGAGTATCGGCATCTGCGTGAAATTAAAAGTCTCTGAGAACGCTGATGCCTAGAAACGAAAAACATGTCCTTTACGAGCAGACAATATTGTATTCTACGCATGAGAAAACATATCCTCGTGATTAGTCGCCAATATGACAAAAATTCAGTGCATTGAACCATTATTACGAAGTACGTGCCAAGTTTCTAAATATAAGTCGTTGGAAATGAGATTTTCAGGTCTTGAGTCCAGATGCTTATTGTTATAATGTATTTGAATTTTCGGTGTATACGGACAATGACGGAATCAAGTCTTTCGTGTTTCTGAAAGTGTATGCAAGGCTGTGACGTTCTTCAAGAACCAGCATTATTCTCGGCGCATTATTGACCTTGAGTATGGAATAAAAAACTGCCCTTTGCTTCTTTGCATTTATTCATCCCGTTTATATGTGCTATTTATGAGCGAATGGATATATTTACACGTGGAACAATTCAGTCGAGCCTATTGTACATTAGTCACGTCCTCCTCTGAGATTTTGTGACTGTGGGTACCTCACCTATATGATTCATCTTTTAAACCAACTTTGGCTGATGTACGGAAAAGCCTCATTGAATTGGAACTGTCCTTTGTGAGGAAAACGTGTTAACAATGCACGTTTATTTGCATGTGCAGCCGAATAATTTTTTTTCATATCCGCTTTTACTTAGATAACAATTTTGTTCAGTAACCAATTACAACTTATTCAAAGTTATGCTTTAAATTCAGTGCTGAGAATACGAGCTCAAAGATTCGGAAATAAACTTCTGATTTCTTGTAAAAAAATCATACTTTAGATGAGGGTAGAAGACAACTACGCTGCCTTTGGCTTTTGTATCGAGTTTCTCTTACGAGTACGCGCAGTTTACGGGATGATGGTTTCTTAAAAAAAGATTCTGCGCAGTAGTGATAGGAAGTGATTAAGAGGTCATCACACAACTCTTATTAAAATTACAAGCAAACGATGAATGTGCTAAGAAATAAATATTTATACAACTTTCGGTTTTACATGAACCCGTCTAAAAAGAGAATAAATTACACATTCCGACAGTACACAGAGAAATGAAATAAAAGTTGAAGTCAAGAAGCTTCTACTTAGTGGCCTCTATCAGGTACGCTATGAGATCAGCTCTCTCGGACTGCTTCTTGAGTCCAGCGAAGACCATTTTGGTGCCAGGGATGTACTTCTTGGGGTTGGTGAGGTACT